GGGGGGGGGGGGCTCGCCTTTCCACCCGGGAGGTGCCGCCCCTGCCCTGCAGCACTCCCACGCCAGGCTGGCACCAGGCTGGGGACGCAACAGCAAAGGCCTGGGGCGGGGTGGTGTGTGTGTGTGTGTGCACATGCTTGGGTGGGTATGCATGTTTCTGTGTGGATGTAGGCATGTCTAAATGTGCATATGTTTGGGGCCTAGGTGGGTTTGGGGTACACCTGCTTGTGTGTGTTTGTGTGTGAGAGAGACCGGAGGTGAGTGGATGCACTCTACCTAGAAAATCCTGGTGTACTTGGCCTTGAGTGATCCTGAATATTCAGATTTACCCAAAAGAGGAAATGGAGAGTGTTCACTCGTTATACAGAATAGACCCTTTGCTCTACAAAGGATTTCACAGTGGATGGGAGCAGGAGGGGGTGTTCCTTTAAAACTAGGCCCCTCAGGTGCCTTTAGGATACTATGCTCTGGTAGGCACTAGGATTCAGGTGTGTGTGGGGGGCCGTCATTGGTGCTATTATGGGGGACCCTTTCCCGGGGGGCCTCAGAATCATGTGGGGAGCATGTACAGATGCCCAGGCCACGCTCCAGACCTGTGAGGTCAGACTGTCCAGGGCTGGGCTGATGTCACGGGGAAGAGGCCAGGTAGGTGTGCAGAGGCCCCAAGGCTGGCCCTGAAGCCTGGTTCTGCTGCTTCGCCTGCCTGGCCTTCCTGAGGGACCTTGTGAACCAGGCTCTGGGAAGTCGACAGGGCAGGTCTGCGAAGTGTGTATTCACTGCTGTCTTCCCGGCATGGAAGATGGGGGTGGGTTCACTTCCATGACCTGTGCCTCAGTTTCCACAGTGCCAAAGTGGGCCAGCTGGTGTCACCCCCCCGGGGAACTTCCTTTCTGTGTGGGTGGTGGCCTACATCTTGTCAGGCATTTGCAAGAGGCCACTGAGAACTGGAGTGCTTGGATTTGGAAGTGGGGGAGGGAAGGCACCCGCCTGTGCTGAGAATGTTTGATCCTCATGGCAACCCTGAGGGAAGGACAATGTCAAACCTTTCCTGAGGCTCTGAGGAGCCAGGGCCTACCAAGGTTGTGCCATCATCTGTGGGGACTCGGGGGTGGGATTTGAACTCTGGGCCGCAGGGCTCCCAACTTTCCCACCCCGGGCAGTGGCTGAACGCCCGAGTGTGGTAGGACTGAGAGGCACAGTCCACCAGGGCAGTGGCAGGGAGCCCCAGGCCTCATCCCAACTGCAGATTCCATTCCCTGGAGTCCCTGGACGCCTTCTCTTCTTCCTCTGTTTCTTGCTTCTTTCTCTTGGTGAACCTTTTCATCTGCGAGCCTGTCCAGGTTCTAGTCTCGGTTCAGATCTGGGCTCTGAATGGACATAGGGCCCGGGACCCCAGCTCCCTGCCCTCCCCCTTGCCTCTCCCCCTGCCCTCCTAGCAGGTGCTCAGTGAGTGAGTGTTGAACTGCAGGGAACGGGATGGCCCGGGGAAGGGCAGTGTTTTGCCTGACTTACTGGGGGGCCTTGGGACAACCCCGTTGCAAAGCAAGGGGGTTTAGCCGGGGGAGCTCTGACTGACTTTCTGGGAATCCCATGACTCGCTGTGTGACCTTCAGGGCGGGGAGGAAGAGTGGAGAATCTGGGTGAGGCTCTCAAGGCTCAGGAGGGAAAGTACAACTTAAAAAAAAAAAAAGCTGAGAAAAAAATTAGCTTAAAAAAAAATGAGCTGAGTTGCTGCTTGAAAAAACAAAAAAAGCATAAACCAACAAAAAAATAAAAACTGCTAGCGAAGATCCCACCACCACAGGGTTGGGGGCAGCCTGGGCTCTGCGGGGCAGGGCTGGGTGTGGGTGAGACTCTGCCTGGCATCCTTGCGGCCTCCTGTTCCAGCCCAGCCTTGGCTCTGATGCCTGCCCAGCCTTTCCCATGATCCCTCCGGGAAAGAGAACTGGCCTTAATGGGTGCCAACTGGGTGCTGGGTGTTTTCATTTAACCCTCCCAGGTCTTCTCCAAGGAAGGTGCTACATTCCCCATTTCAGGGTTGAGGAAGGCAGGTTCTGAGACGTGAACTTTGTGGAAGTCGCACAGTTCCTAGGTGGGAGGGCTGGAATTCTAACAGTGGAGACCTCAGGGCCCATGCTTCCGGTGGGAGCCCTGGCAGTGTGCTGGAAGCCGAGCGTGGCCCCAGTGCCCTGCCCTGGCGGGTTGGGTTACAGCGCCCCTCTGTGGGCACAGCTGGCTCTTATGATTAGCTGTGCATTGGAGAAGGAGGGACATAAGGGAGGTGGCCTTCTGCCTCAGTTTATTTATTTCTCAACTTCTGCCACCACCTGATCCTGATTACCAGTCTCTGATCTCTGGGCCAAGTGACTGCACCAAAAAACTCACCATTATCCTATCTCCCAATAAAACTTGTTATTATCCTCAACCCCAGTGTCAACTCTACTCAACTTTAACCTGGTCCTGACCTATAGCCTCAGTTCTAACCTCACCTAATTCCAACTCCAAGTCAGACCTGCGCGATCGTCTCCAGGCTACTTTCATTACAACCCAATTTCAATTCCAAATCCTACACAATCCTTAGCATCACTCCCTATCCCAGTTGCTCCCTCTCTGGCCCCATCTGGCCTGTTGTTCCCAAGGAAGCGCATGGGGTCAGGTATAGGACAAAAGTCCCTGGACCTCTCTGAGGTCTACAGAGGGCCTGTCCAGCCTAGGGAAGGCCAGGGAGTTCCCGGCCCTCTTTTGGGTACTGTGACCAGACCCTGACTCAGAGGCTGATTCCCTAGGGAGAACAGAGGACGTGTCAGGGGTGAGGAAGCCTCCTGGTTGCTAAGTTTTTTGAAAAATCAGTTGAGTTGCCAGTTAGGCGCAAGTCCTATTTTGCTAGGCTGCGGTTGTACTGGAAACATGGGCTTTGCTGTCGATCTTGTGAGCGAGACCATAAATATGTGGGTGATAGCCTGGCTTATGACAGGCTCATTTGGGATGGGGATGACTGTCCACTCTCACCTCAACTGCTCTCTCTCCCCACAGGGCTGGGAGTGGGGGTCACCCAGGTATTAGGGTCCAGCAAGATGGAAACCTGCAGGGAGAAGGGTAGGAGCTGAGGGGAACTTGGCTGGACGGAGAGCAGGGTGCTATAGAGGGGTGCAGCCCTGCAGGCTGGCCCGGGCCCTCCCTGGGAGCCCTGCTCCACCAGCCCTCCGAGATGTTCACTGCAGGAGCAGGCAAGACCCCCCCCAAATTACCTGCCTCTGCCATCTCCACCCACTTTCTGCAGAAAGTGGGCCCAGGGTGTGATTGTTCTGAATGGGGTGCCCAGTCCCAAGCCATCCCGACCTCTGGCGCTGGGTTTCTGTGGGATCAGTAGGACCTGGCCCCTCTTCCTGATTCAGTCTCACCCAGGCGCCTCTGGGGACTGTCCGAGCTGCACTGGTTCTCCAGCCCAGCTGCACAGCAGAACCCCTGGGAAGCTTGTTAAAAGTGCAGAGTCCCACCCCACCCCAGAGCTTTCACTTCAGAAGTTCCAGGGAATTCTGGTGATTGATTAGGTTTGCAAATCACTGGCCCATGTCATCTCACTCATTTTACAGGTGGGGAAACTTTGGCCTGAGTGTGCAGGGTCACCTAGCATGTGTGGGTCCTGTGCCCTTTCCCTGTCCTGTCCTCAGGAGGGTTGGGGACCCCTTGCAGCCACTGTCCTCTTTCCAAATCTCTCTGGAGCCCCTCCCTCACTCTTTGAGGTGGAAGGAATGATAAAGTTGGGGAACTTCAGGAGTCCCCTCTGAGCCAAATCAGTTAGACACAGATTCTGCCCTGCACCGCCATCTACCGTCAAGTTCTGGTATTGTCCTAGTGTTTTGCTCCTTCCTTCTGTAGCAGGGGAATTTACAGATGGTCAAGTATGTGGCTTTGACTGTTTCCTGCTCAATTCAGGGGCTAGGATGGGGCGGGGGGTAATGATGTGTGTAGAATCTCAGTGGGCTCGAGGATGTGGTGGGGCATCCTAGGAAAAATGCCGTCTGGTTCAGAGTTAGTGTTTTTTTGCCTGGGTCCAGCCAGAATTCACTGCAACACGAAGATCGAGGTCAGCTCTCCTAACGTCAGAATCCTGAACAGTGTGCCAGTGGCTTTCCAGGAGACATGCTGGTGGCCAGCTGCTGAAGGGCAGGCATTGCATGGACAATTTTTTGTGTGCTTCCCTGGAGGACCCACAACATCCTTCTGGGAAGGGAGCTAATGATTGGTCCGCACGCGACATGTGCTTGGATACTTAGTGTCCTGTTTCATAATTGCAGCATCCTTTGCCATGCACACGCCTTTTTTAGACGAAGAAACTGAGGCACAGAGATAAAATGTCACTTTCTCAAGGCTACATGGCTAAGTTATAAAAATAACTAACATACGGAGTGTGTGTTATCTGTCAGGCTTTGTGATGAAGGCTTTTCATATAATACCTCATTTAATCTTCCTGATACCCATCTGCTGCTGATACTATTAACAGCCCCATTTTTGAGGTTCAGTGAGGAGAAATAACTTGTCTAAGTTTGTATTTGGTTAGTAAGTGGTAGAGCTAGTATTTCAGCCCAGGAGTCACATGCCAGAGCCCCTGCTTGTAAAACCCCCAGTCCCCTGCCCAGACTCCCAGGCCCTGCTAGGCCTCACTTGCCACCTGTGCTCAGTTCCAGGGCTCTGGAGGCCACGGGCATGATGCTGCAGGTCCTGGTGGGGGCTGTCTTCCCTGCCATGCTGTTGGCTGCCCCCCCGCCCATCAACAAGCTGGCACTGTTCCCGGACAAGAGCGCCTGGTGCGAAGCCAAGAACATCACCCAGATTGTGGGCCACAGCGGCTGTGAGGCCAAGTCCATCCAGAACAGGTGGGCTCCAGGGGGTGGGTGGGAGGTGAGGACAGGCACCCAGGAGGGAGGCAGAGGACCAGGGCTGCCCAGCCCTGCCTCCTCTGCAGTGACACAGGCACGCTGACCTCTCATCCCACAGGGCGTGCCTAGGACAGTGCTTCAGCTACAGCGTCCCCAACACCTTCCCACAGTCCACAGAGTCCCTGGTGCACTGCGACTCCTGCATGCCGGCCCAGTCCATGTGGGAGATTGTGAGTACTGGCTGCTCTGCCCCAGTCTGGCCTCTGCCCAGAGCCTGCACTGGCCCACACTCCTGCGTCACAGCAGGTGGCCACAAGTACTTAGTAAGGCCCACTGTATTCAGGGTAGGGGCTTATGCTGGGGATACAGACATAGTCCTTGATGTGGGATGTCTTACAAGTCTGACACCAACTTGTACAGGACAGGGGATCTTTCCGAAGCTCCGTTCTGATGTCACTCATGCACTAAAATCCTTATAGTGGCTTCCTGTTGTGATAGGATGAGACCAAAACCTTTGCCATGCCCCACAGGTCCAGCGTGGTCTGTCTCCAACTTCATCTTGCCTCCCACCTTCCTTATTCTTGACACTTGTCACCAGCTCATCTCCTTTTGGCCCCTGATACCTGATCTGCTTGCTCCCACCACAGGGCCTTTGTACATGCTCTTTTCCCTGCTTGGAATTCTGTTCTCCTCCTCCTCGCCTAGTTAACTTCTGTTCATTCTCCCGCTCTTGGCTGAAGCATCACTTACTCAGGGCTCCTTTCCAGACCTGCTGGCTGGGTCAACTCCCTGAACCTTCGGCTCTCAGTGCACTGCTTGCCTCTGCTTTGAGCATCTGTCACATCCTCAGTTTTCTACCTGCATCTGGATGATTTTGACAAGTCTGTTTCCCTCACTGGACTCTGAGTCCCTTGAAGGACCATGCCTGTCCTTGTGTCCCCAGAGCTGGCATGGAGTAGGTGCTCTGTGGAAGAAAGGGGGGGGGAAGAAAAGAAAGGGAGGGAGGGAGGAAGGGTGACATTAGGAGAAGGGCAAGATGCTGACGGGTCCTACAGGGTGAACCTCAGCTGGGCTGGGGGTTTGGGATGGGGCTTTTTTGAGGAAGTGATGCCTGAACTCAGCCCCAAAGGTTCAGTAAAAGTTAACTGGGCAGAGTTTAAGGCAAGTGGGAGGGGGATAGGTTGGGTTAGAACCTTCCAGGCAGAGGGAGCAGCATGAACAAAATCTGAGGCAGATCAGATAGCACAGAGCTAGTGGGAGTGGTGTGAGGTCAGGGGTGAAGAGGTCAGCTGAAGGTCAGCTTCAGGGGCAGCCTGAAGGTCCTGGGTGGCCTTAGTAAGGGTCAGGATGTTTCCGCAAATGCAGTGGGGAGCACTAAGGGGAATTTTAAGCAGGGGCAGGTCACATTTATTTTCCCCCCAGGGTGCCTTCTGGCTGGGGTGGGAATGGATAGGAAGGTGGCAGGACTGGGTGTGAGGAGAGGAGTTGGGTGGCTCCCCCAAGGGCTCAGTCCCCTCACACTCTTAGATGGGCCCACAGAGCTAACTGGCGATCACAGGTGGGCTCAGGGATTCTTGGTCCATGAGGCAGTGTGACTCTTGGGGCCTCCCCACTTGCCCCAGGCCTTTGGAAACATCCCCTCCCTTCTCTCCTGCCCTCGCCAGGTGACCTTGGAGTGCCCCGGCCACGATGAGGTGCCCAGGGTGGACAAGCTGGTGGAGAAGATCTTGCACTGCAGCTGCCAGGCCTGCGGCAAGGAGCCCAGTCACGAGGGCCTGAGCGTCTACGTGCAGGGCGAGGACGGGCCGGGCTCCCAGCCTGGCCATCACCCCCACCCCCATCTCCACCCCCACCCTGGTGGGCAGACCCCTGAGCCTGAGGATCCCCCTGGACCCCCCAATGCCGAGGAAGAGGGGGTGGAGGACTGAGGCCCCCCAACGCTTCCTCCCCTCTCACTCCCCTGTGGAATGTTGGGTCTCACCCTCTGGGGCAGAGTGGGGGGAGAGGCTGGAGCCCCCCCTTTGGCACTGGATGGACTTGGATTCAGACTTGGACTTGAAATGCTGCCCAGTTGCCATGGAGATCTGAAAGGGAGGGGTTGGAGCCAAGCTGCACAATTTAATATATTCAAGACTGGGGGGCAGAAGCAGAGGTCTGCAGGGCTCTTTTTTTGAGGGGGGGGGTCCTCTTCATTTCTGCCTTCCAGAAATGTGCCCTCGGGTGGGGGAGGAAGTTGGCTAAGCTGCTGAGGTGGGGGGGAGGCCATCCAAGCTGGCAGGAACCCGGCTAAGGCCCACACAGGCCCTGGCGGGGGGCAGAACACTGGGGGTGCAGATGGTGCAGTTGGGGCCCTGAGGGAGGGGGGACACCTTTCCGGCATCATCCTTGAAGGAGGGGCTGGGCTAGAAAGGTCATTGGCAGAAGCAGGAAGCTCTAGCCCCACTGGTTTCCCCAAAAGTCTCCCACCCCATCCCTGTGCTGGGGAAGCATCTTCCCGGTGGCACTGAAGGGGCTCTCCCTCAATGCAGTGGTTGGGAGTCAGGCCTGGGCAGGACCCTGCTGACTCATGGCACTCGAGCTGCAGCCAGGCTCTCTGGGCCTTTCTCAGGCTTCCTTGGCTTGACTGGAGGGTGGGAAGAAGGAGTCTTCCCGAGCCAGGAGGAGTGGGGTGATCCCCCAGACCATCACTGAAGAAGAGCATCCCTCCCTCATCTCCTTCTTAGAAATCTTAGCACCTCCCACTACCCCCCAAGTTCTAGGTCTTTCAGCTGATGGGGCCAGCCCTGCTCTCTTGGGGAAGCTCTTTCTAAATATCTGACAGGTGGGGTCCAGGAGGGTGACTCCCTCACCTGGAGTTTCCAAGGAGGGACCTGGGTGGGACGGACTCTGGCTGAGCCTTCAGGACGAGGAGGAACGAGGCTTGTGTGGGAGGCCAGTGTTCACTCGGGCTCTCTCCAGCTCTGCAATTCGCACACCTCTTCCCTCCCAGCTGCACTTTAACCCTAGAGGGCTGTGGAGCCCTGGGGGAAGGGCAGAGCAGGTGGGCAGTGACATGTCAGCCCCCAGAACTGCCTGTGTCTGCTCCTCTGTGTCCCAGGTGCCTGCCAGCCCCCACCCCCACCTGGGGGCACTCCAGCCCTCATGGCTGTTCCTATGAGAGCTTCTGGAGCTTGTAACCAGTAGATGGTCTCCCCGAGGGACCCTGAGTCTTCCCATCAATAAATTCATTCATTGCCTGTGTTCTCTTCCTCATTGGTGGCTCTGCTGACCCAGGCAGCAGGGCCCCGGGGGAGGGGAGCCAAGGCCAAGGCGGGGAGTGCTGGGCAGACCCACAGGTCCCGTGTGGCCCTCTCACTTCCCTGTCCAGGCACCCCTGACTCTTGAGCCTCTGTTTCCCCAGCTCCCACCTCTTCCCTTGGGGGCCCATTTCTGGCCTTGCATCCACCTTGGATGGGCATCGAGAACTGGACTTCATGGATTTTTGACCCTGGGTCCCTTGGGCTTGCCCCACGCCATCTCTCCACCCTCATGGTGACCCAGCATCAGTCTTTGCCTAGGCCTCAGCCTGGCCTGGCCCCCAGGAGATGGGGAAAGGGTCAAAAGTATTAGTTACAAATTCACGTGCAAGGTTGGGCACTGTGTTAAGTACTGCATGTAAATTAACTCGCCTGATCCTCACCACTGCTCAGTGATGTAGATATTGCCCTCATTTTATAGAGGAGGCATCTTAAGAGCAGAAGGCTTAAGTCATTTTCCCAGGGTCGTGCGGTTAGGACATGTCATCAACAGGACTGGGACCTAGGCAGTCTGTCCAGAGCCCACACCAAGCTTGGGGATACCGGTTCTTATTTATCATTCAACCAGTCCACAGGGAGGACTTTTACAGAGTGGGAAACTCAGGCTTGGAAGCATAGAAGACCCACATGAACTCAAAATACTGGCAATAAATATGGCATCCCATGTCCTTGGTGCTGAGTCTCTGGGCCTCGGTGGATTTGGACCTGAGCACTGTCTTAGTGGCAGTCTTGGTGAGGAGCTGCCTCCACCCTGTGTCTGGAACAAGGCGGGGGATACATTCATGGACACACGGAGAAAGTAAGGGACAGGTTGGGAGTAAAGCAGGAAAGCGTTTGAGTGGCTGGTGGCGGGCCTGGAATGCCAGCCCGAGTTCAGACCTCAGGCTCTTTGCAGCAAGGACCCCTGGAGGTGTCTGCGCAGAGCTGGGTTTCTATGACTAAAACGGGTGGGAGGAGGGGGAGGCAGGAGACCGGCAGGGGTGACTGCCACGGTCCGGGGAAGGAGATGAAGGGGGCCAGATGACGGGGGTCAGATGACGGGGGTGTTGGGGGGGAGCCGTGGGGTTGGAGGGGGGGGGCTGCGCCAGAGGGGCGGGGCCACACGGGAGAGGCGCTGCTGATTGGATGTGGGAGCCCAGCGAGTGGGAGGAGCCCGACTTGAGCGATGGCTGGTTGAGAAGTGTCGCTAGCTGGGCCAGCTCGCCAGGGGGTGACATGTGAGGGTAGAGACTTCCGATTTTTCTCTCCACCAAGCTCCAACTGAACCACCAAGAGCACCTGGGGAAAAATTGCAGCCCCCGCCCTGCCCCCCTCCACAAGGGTGGAGGGGCTTAAAATCTTCAGGAGGGTTTAACACTGACACCAGCACTGTCAACGCAGGTCCCCCTCTGGCCGATGGTCGGGTCATTAGTACCGGCTTCCCCGTCTTGTTTGCCTATAGGGAGCCAACTCTCAACTGGTTTTCCTCCCTGCTCCAAGCCTCTGCCGAAATCCAGGCTGCTTGGGTTCAAGTCCTGGCCGGGCCACTTTCTAACTAATCTTCAGCAAGTCCCATAAGAGCGCTGAGGCTCGCTTTTCCTGCATGTAAAATGGGAATAATCACACCTACCTCACTTTCTGGGCCATGGTGAGCATTACATGAGTCGATGCACGTTTAGAGCTTGGAACAGTGCCTGGCGTTTAGTAAGGTCTGCAGAGTGTCAGCTGTTATTATCATTGAGAACGAATGGCCCACAACGGCAGGTGGTTGCGCCGATAGTTTTGTTCATTTATGAATTCACTGAACAGATATTTATTGAGGGCTAATGTGTGCCAGAGACACAGCAGTGAACAAAGTGGACAAATCCCTGCCCTCATGGCGTTTGGTCAGTTGATCCACACTTTCTGCAAGAGCAGCTTTGGGCAGCCCTCGCAATCTCCCTGGGACCTCTTTTTCTCCATCTCTGCAGTGAGGAGCTTTCCCTGGTCCTCTATGTACCCACAGACACGGAGGTTTGGAGCAGAGGACTTCCTAAGACTCAGCTGTCCCATTGTGGCACAAGCTGTCTCTTCGAGGGAGGAAGCACCCGTGGCTAGAAGTAATCAAGCAAAAGCTGAGCATCCTTAAAGTCCCTCTCTACCCTGGAATGTTAAGGAAGACTAGGACTTTATCACGTCACTGTTGAAACGACAAATACAGGAGCATACACAGAGCTTCTGAAAAGGTCTCAAATTCAAGATAACAACAGTGTGGCCACAAGGTGGCATCGTGACCCTGGCCCAATCTTTAAAAAGATAAATTTTTTAGTTATAGCAAAGTACAGATCATGATATAACAAATGTCCATGAACCTATTACCCAGAATGAACAAATGTTAAAATTGTTATGTTTTCTTTAGGTCTTTCTTAAAAATAAAAGATATCAAACTTTACAGAAAAAGCAAAAACAGAGGGATAATATTCCATCCCATTACATACCAATTTTTACAAAGCTATAATTTATCAGGCACCTCCTCTGGGCAAAATAGTTTAAATACTCATCCCATTCACATACCCACTATCCCAATTTCAGGGATTTTAAGGGAACTTGCCAACATCACAGAGCAAGTGGCAGAATCAGGATTATGAACCCTGGTCACTGGGCTCCAAAATCGTTCTACGCAGCACCTCCTGGGGTTTCAGTTGCTCACATCAGGAATCCCTGGGCTGAAGGAGTCACCACAGGGCTGAGTGCATTACCGTTGTGCGCATGAGAACACTGCAGCCAACACCTAATACTGACATAGTACCATAAGGTTTACAGAATGCACTGGTGCCATCCCCTCAATGACCCTATGAGGTGGGGCTGTATTGTCCTGGTAACTATTGTAGAGAAGAAAATGGTGACCAAGGAGCTGGAGCTGCTGGCCCTAAGTTCACAGACCCGGTAAGCAGTGGAGCTGGGATCCCAAGCCCTGGCTTTCTGTCTCCCTGGCTTGGTGTGCTGCATCCTGTTCCTTGGGGCCTGGCAGAAATCATCAAAGTGGTGCATTTTGGTGTCGGGGAGGGAGAGCAGGCCTTCCCCACCTGCCGATCCACTGGTGGGCAGATTAGGGCTCTGAGTGCCAAATAGAAGCTGGGGTGGGTGGGCGTGCTGTAGGGTCTGAGGTTTGGTAGGAGGTTTCTGACCTCTGTAATGGGCTCCCTCTGCCATGAGTGTTGGCATACCCGTGTTTCAGCTCCCACTTGACCACTCGCTGCTGGTCATCTTGGAAGACGCCCTTGGCCTCTCTGAACCCCAGTTTAACATTTACCTCTCAGCATTATGAGGAGGAATGAATAATTACAGAGGTTGAAGTAGGAATAATATAACAAAGTCCCTGGAACATAGCAGGACCCTTAAATGTGGGAGGAATTATTTTTCTGTTTCGGTGGAGAGGAAAAAGACACCCTGCCAACTCTAGATCCTCTTTCTACTACATTTCCTTTTTTTCTATAGCAACGATCACTTTCCAATTACTTTATATGTTTATTGTGCTCATTGTTTATTATCTGTATCCTTCCACTAGCAGGTAAACTCTTGAAAGCGGGGTTCTTCGTTTCGGTCACTGTAGTGTCCCGATCGGTCAGAGCAGTGCCTGACACCTAGTGAGTGTTCAATAAATATTTGTTGAATGAATGAATGGAATCCGCAGTATTAATCTGCACAGCAGTGTTACGTAGACTCTTCTCAGCCAGAGGGGAGAGAGACGTTGGGAAGTTGCACCGAGGGGACGACACACCCCACCCCTCTGCCTGCAGTGACTCTATCCCACCTGGCTTGGGAATTCCCAAATCTGTTTACGCTGATAGACTGTGAGCGCCAACAGGTCAGGGACTTCATTCATCCTTAGTGCCTGGCGCTGTTGGGGAATGGGATGGTTTCTGTTCGAAAGACCCTGGCGAGGGGTAGCCCGCTGCTCAGCTAAAGATGAAGAATACTAGAAATTATCAACCCGTTCTACGGGCACAGCAACTGAGGCCAGGAAAGGTATCAAGCGATTTGCTCAACATTACCCAACTCCTGGCTCCTCATGAAAGCGCGGTGACACCCTCTGCGGGTGGGCAGACCCCCAATGGGGGGCAGTCCCTGGATAAAGGCAGGTCACAGACCCCTTCTCAGAGTTCCGCCTGCGCCACCGCCACGTGCGGGTTGCGGAGGTACCTGCGGGACTGTAGGGGCTGCCACAGCTCTGGACAGGCCTGGGGTACTGGGACCCCACCCGCCTGAGAGGCTGGGGCTCGGCTCTCCCCGCCCACCGCGGGGCGGGGCGCACGCTCCGCGGCACGGGGATCGCGCGCGGCTGGAAGCACCCGCCTGCTCCTCCGCCCGCGC